GGAAGCCTGCTTCTCCCTCTCCCACTCCCCCTGCTTGTGTTCCCTCTCTCGCTGTGTCTCTGTCAAACAAATAAAATCTTTAAAAAAAAAAAAAAATTAAAGAAAGAATGATATCCTGCCATCTGCAACGACATGGATGGACCTAGAAGGTACTGGGCTAAGTGAAGTAACTCAGACAAAGATAGTTACTGTGCGATTTCACGTCTATGTGGAATCTAAAAAACAAAACAGAAACAGACTCATCAACAGAGACCAAACTGGTGGTTGTCGGAGAGGAGGAGGATGGGCAGTTGAAGGGGATTAAGAAGTACAACCTTCCAGTTATGAAGTCAGTCGGTCACTGGGATGTAATGTACAGCAGAGATGGAATATAGTCACTAACACTGTAATAACCGTGGATGGTGACCAGTGAGTAACTAGACCCATCAGAGTGATCATTTTGTACATTTGTAATGTATAAAAGTATCCAAACACTGTAATAACTGTGGATGGTGACCAGTGAGTAACTAGACCTATCAGAGTGATCATTTTGTACATTTGTAATGTATAAAAGTATCCAAACACTACGTAGGTCAATTAAAAACAAACAAGAATTCAGAGATGGGCAGCATGACAGAGGGAGGAAGCCCTGGGTTGGTTAGGAGCCGGGCTCCTGCTGGTTCCTGGGGCACCGGTCTTGCTCATCTGTGTCTCAGGCTCGTCACCATTTATAAGAGGCAGAGCCCCTTCCTGCTTTAACATGATCTGACTGTATAAATTAACGTAACCAGAGGTTCTACTTAGTAGTTGGTACCTGCCCCAACCATGTGCGCATAGCAGCTCTGTCTCTGGGCCACTGCTGGAAACCCCGTGCAGAGCACCCCTTCGGGAAGATGGATCCCTGTCAATTTCTTCCGATTCAGCAGCTCTGAGGAGACTGAAGAGGAGATGCGGTGACTGTTCCAGGAGAAAGTCTCCTCCTTACGTGCCTCAGATGCCATCCAGCTGCCAGAGACACTGGGTCCCCAGCCCAGGGCAGAGGCCACACATGGACTTTTCTTTTTTTAAAGGCTGGCAGCACTTACTGATTCTAAGAGTGCAGTGTACATCAAGGCTCACAGATTATCTGAATTGACCAGGAATGAAATTTCAGTCAGTTTCTAGATCACTTCTCTGGCAGGCCAAGGGAATATGAGTTTGAGGCAAACTGGAGCACGCCGGCTGCGTTCTCTCCTATTAACTCCCGATGCTCTTCGAACTCGCCTCAGTGCAATGCAGTTGAAAAGTCAGGATGCCGGAGGATGCTGGCTTCCCTTCCCTGAAGCTTTGGGGAGCGGAGCCGACCCTGTCTCTGGCTAGGTATTATACCAAGGTTACCACATAAAATCCAGAACACCCAGGTACATTTGAATTTCAAATAAACACCACATCATTTTTTGATCTAAGTACGTTCCATGTAATATTTGGAGGATACTTACGGGAAAAAAAAATGCTTCGTTGTTTATCTGAAATTCCAATTTAACTGGGCACCCTGCATTTCTATTTGCTAAATATGGTAACTTTAATTACACCCATTTCAAGCAAAGACTAGTTGGTTCCTAGTCTCCAAAGTATAACAACATCCCCAAACCAACCTCTCCCCAGCCAAAACAAAAACTTGTCTTGTTTGTTCCTCAAAACAAAACCTGTCTTTTTATTTCCAGGACATGTTTTTTAAAAGTAGGTCCATAAGTATCTAATAAAAAACAGAAAAAAGAGATGTGCCTTCTTGTAAGTCTCCAATTTAAAAGCTCAGCATGCCACTGGCCACAGGCTCTGGGGCCAGGTGGCTCTCTGGGCAACCCCGACTTCAAAGGCAACTGGCTTCCAACTCATCGGGGTAGGGGGAGAAGGCAGGAAGAGCAGAATTTAAAGGTGGCTCCTTTCTCAAAGAGGCCCATTGGGGCAGAGGGACAGGAGAGGAGGCAGGTGCTGAGGGCAGGAGAATGAGAAGAAGCGGCACGCCACAGCTCAAGCCACAGGACATACGTGTCCCTCTACACAGAACACCCCCCACCCACTGACAGGTTTACTGTGAGATACAAGAAAAAGTTATTGCTCTTACAGAAAGCCCAGTAGTTGAGGGAGAGATGCGTCCCCGCCCCGTCCTCCCCGGATTCTCCCCCGTCTCGGCACTTGGCCTGGGCACCCACGGCTAGTGTTCTGGGCGGCCACAAGCTGCAGGGCCTCGGGCCGTTCGCGCTGCTGGGGTAGGTGAAGAGACAAAACACCTCCCCGAGTTTTTTTTTTTTTTTTTGAAATTACATTTACCATTCTGGTCAAAAGTTACTCATATAATGCAGTGGTCTTAAATTTTTATTTTGCACGGTTATACAGTCTGAATGACTAGCTTGCAATCCGAGGCAGTTTTTATAAGCTTTGCTCTGCAAAATGGTGTTAGTGTTGTTGTAGGGCAAAGTCCTCACCGATAAAGAAATGACATTAATGAAAGGAAATCAAGAATGATGTGCTGGCATGTCAGATTACAAAGTGGCTCTAAGCAAGCCAGTCCCCAACTTCTCACAGCAAGGGAGTTCAAGAGCCAGAAACTCCTTAGAAAAATTAAATGGCACCTATAATAACACTCATATAAGGGTCAAGTTTGTAAATTTTTAATCCATGGTACTCAAAAGTGAGAGAATTAAATACAAAGCTACAATTGGGTAAATCTTCTCACTTCCTCTTCTTCGTGGAATATAGTTTTTCTTCGAGTGGGACAGGGACAATCCCCTCACACTCTTTTACTTCCTGGGTCAGAGGGTGTTTTACAACATTCGGTCTAATCACATCAATGTCTCGAGACAAATGTTCCATTATGCTCTCAACAGCGGTGGCTGGTGCATAAAAATCCACCAAGAAATACCTGCAATAAAATAAAAATTTGTGAATTCCTGCATTCTGAAATACAACACTTCCGCTATTTTGGTCAATGTTTTCACTTTACTCCTCTCCAGGTAAGATCGGCTACACAAAAAAACACACACGCACTTTGTCAACACAGGAACTACCAACTGACCAGCTAAACAGAAGTGTTTGCCCAACCTCCCCCTTCCCTATGGCCGGTCCCCTTACACTCTTGTGAAAATCTGAATCCTAACAAACTTTGTGGTAGCAAACAGCATTGTGACGTCACATACAGTGCGAAGTATATAAAGTACAGTAAGATTATGGGTCTAAGGAACAGAATGTACTATTCAACAAGGCTGAATTTCTCAAACCATTTTTTGAGAAAACATCTATTGGGTAAGTCTTCCAATTTTCTAAAGGATTTTACAAGTAACTTAATGCACCCGAGAGGCAGAGTACATGCAAATGGCCACACTTCACAAACAAGGGAAAAGATTCTGAAAGGCCTGGGACTTGTCTAAGACTATCCTGCATGTTCGAGAACTGACAACAGAAGGAAAATCATGGGAATCTGGGGTATGGGAAAGAACTGAACATTCCTCCACCCACAGCAGACTACTCCAGAAGGGCACCGCAGCCAGCCCACTCTTCTTACCACATCAACAACTTCATCAGCTCAGCCGATGACGTTACAAAGGAAGAAGCAGCCCTCCTCCCTGCCCGCGCCCCCCTCTCAATTCTAAAAGCGTAAGCCTCCCTTGTACTGTTGGGTTTGAACCACAGTGCTGTGAAAGGCCAGTTTTCAGTGCAGTAATTCAGAATTCTGCAATGTTCCAGCTGGCTGAGATGACCTCTGACATCGCTTACTTTGTTCTAGCCACACTCTCCTCCCCACGCATATTCCCATCCTAGGTCTTTGTGCTCACTGTTCCTTCTGCCGGAAATGTTCTTCGCTGAGTTCCACAGAGCTCACCCCTCACTTCCATCCTGTCTGCACCCAAACGTCACTTTGTCAGAGGTCCTCTTTGATCACATCTCCTACAGCAACACTAAAGCAACATCCTCCTTGCCTGCCCACCCAACCTCGTTACTCCATCGGCCTTACTCAGTGCTTCATTGCTTCCCAGAGCGCTCATCACCATGGACAGAGTACGATTTGCTTATCATCTACCTCACGCACTACTACATAGCCGCCCTCAGCAGGACTCTGTTGCTTACCCTCAGCACCCTGAACAGAGGCTAACATACACCAGGCCCACGGTAAATACCTGGCTGCAAGAGTGTTAGCATGAGACGTGAAATTCTCACAGAAAGCAGAAGAGACCAAACTGAAAATGGACAAATTCGACACGGGAGTTAGAGAAAAGGGACGACATTTTGTATAATACCATACAAAGAGAGTTCAAAACATATAAAACAACTTCCCAGGTGAACATTCACCCTTAGCTGAGCCTCGTGGGGAAGTTATTCAAGTAAACAAAAATTAAAAGTGAAAGGACAGAAAAACATACACCATGCAAAAACACTAATCAAAAGAAAGCTCAAGTGGCTATAGTAATATCAAAGTAGATTGCAGATCAAAGGAAAATTACCAGGGATAAAAAAAGATAATATATAACGATCAGTTCACCAAGAAGACACAACAATCCTAAATGTGCATGTAACCTGACAACAGAACTTCATCATACAGGAAGTAAAAATGAACAGAACTGAAAAGAGAAATAAACAAATCCACAATTATGGCTGGAGACTTTTAATATTCCTCTCAGTAACTGATAAAACTAGTATACAGAAAATCAGCAAGGATACAGAAAAAGTGAGCACCACCATCAATCAACTGGATCTGACATTTATAGAACCCTCCAAACAAAAAGAGCAGGATACACATTGTTCACAGTTGCAAACAGAACATTTACCAAAGTCAACCATATTCTGGGCCATAAAATGATACTCAATAAATCTAAAGGGATTCGAATCTCACAGAAGACACTTGGGGAAATCCCCAAATACGTGGAAACTAACATACATCTAAATAGCCTATGGGTCAAAGAACAAATCAAAACGGAATGTGAACTGAATGAAAATGAAAACAACAAATCAAAGTTTGGGGAATGCCACTAAAGCAGGAAATTTATAGCACTAAACACCTATGTAAGAAAAGTGGAAAAGCCTCAAAACTTCCACCTTAAGAACCTAGAAAAAAGAAGAACAGGGTGCCTAGGTGGCTCGATCATCTGCCTTTGGCTCAGGTCATGATCCCAGGGTGCTGGGATGGAGCCCCACATCGGGCTCCCTACTCGGCAGGAAGCCTGCTTCTCCCTCTCCCACTCCCCCTGTTCGTGTTCCCTCTCTTGCTGTCTCTCTCTGTCAAATAAATAAAAAAATCTTAAAAAAAAAAAAAAAAAAGAACAAATTACAAACACAAAGTAAGATGGGGGTGGGGGGGGAAGAATAAAGATCAGAGCAGAAATCTATGAGGCAGAAAACAGAAAAATAATAGAGACCATCAATGAAACCAAATACTAGTTCACTGAGACCAATAAAATTGATCCACCTCTAGTCAGACTGATCAGTAGAAAAGGGTAAGAGACAAATTCAGGAATGAGAGAGGTAAAATGGCTACAAATATTACAGATAATAAAAGGATGGAAAAAGACTATTATAAACAAATTTTACAATAAATTTGACAACTTAGATGAAATTCCTTGGAAAATATAAACTACCAAAACTTCCTCCAAAAAACAGCTAACCCTATACCTATTAAAGAAATCAAATGTGTAATTAAAAACCTTTCCAAAAGAAAACCAAAGGCCCAAATGGCTTTACCAGTGAATTCTACCAAACGTTTGAGGAAAAACACCAATTTTGACACAAACTGGTACTGAAAATAGGACAACACTTCCCAATTTGTTCTATGAGGCCAGCATTACCCTGATGCCAAAATCAAAGACATTACAAGAAAAGAAAAAACTGATCAATATCTCTCACAAACATAAATGAAAAAAAAAAATTCTAAAAGTTTTAGCAAATTGACTACTAAAATATATGCAAAGAATAATACATCATGGTCAAGTAGAGTTTATCAAAGAAAGCAAGACTGGTTTAACATTTGAAATCAATCAATGTAAATCACCATATTACCAAACTAAAAAGAAAAACCATAATATGGGTATTAAGGAGGGCACATGTTGTGATGAGCACTGGGTGTTATACACAACTAATGAATCGTTGAACACTACATCAAAAACTAATGATGTACTATATATTGGCTAACTGAAGATAATGAAAAGAAAAGAAAAGAAAAACCATATGATCATTCCAACAGAAAAAAAAAAGCATTTAACAAAATTCCATATCCAATTCCTGATAAACTCTCAGCAAAGTACAGCTACAAGGGAACTTCTTCAACCATAGAAAGGATATCTTTGCAAAACCTGTAACTAACATCATACCAGCTGGTCAAAGTCTTAATGCTTTTCCCTGAGACTAAGAATAAACAAGGGTGTCTGTTCTCACCATTTCTATTCAACATTTTACTGGAGGTTCTTGCCAGCGCACTAAGGCAAGAAAAAAAAGAAAAGGCAACCAGATTGATAAGGAAGTAGTAAAGTTGTCTATATCTACAGATGAAATGATTGTATATACAGAAGAATCTAAGAAATTTACAAAAAAGATACTAGAAATAATATGTGAGTTTAGCAAGGTTGCAGTCTACAAAAATCAACTGTATTTCTATATACTAGCAATGAATAATCACACCTTGAAATTAAATATGAAGTACTTAAGGATAAATCGGACAAAAGGTGTGCAAGACCTGTACACTAAAAACCCTAAAACATTACTAAAAGAAATTAAAGAAAACTGGCATAAATGGAGATATAACTTGTTCATGGGTAGGAAGATTCAAATTTATTTAGATGTCAATTCTCCAAAATTGATCTATAAATTCCTAAGGATCCTAATCAAAATCCTAAAAGACATTTTTGTTAGAAATTGATGAACTGATTCTAAGCTACACAGGAAAATTCAAAGAACCTACAACAGCCAAAACAACTTGGATATCAAGAATAAAGTTGAAGGATTAATACTACCTGATTTCAAGACTCATTACAAAGTTACGGTAATCAAGGCAGTATGGTATTTGTATAAAGATACACAAACAGATCAATAGAATAGAGTCCAGAAATAGATCCATACATATATGCACAACTGATTTTTGACAAAGGTGCAAAGGCAATTCAAAAGAGAAAGGACAGTCTTTTCAACAAATGGTGCTGAACAATTCCATATTTGTATGCAAAAAATGAACTGTGACCCATACATATACAAAAATTAACTCAAAACAGAACATAGATCTAAATAATAAAACACAAAGCTCGAAAACTAGAAAAAAACACAGGAGAAAACTTTTGTGACCTTGGGTTAAGCAAAGAAACTTTAGACGGCACTAAAAGCAAAATCCATAATCAAAAATTTGATAAACTAGACTTCATCAAAATTAAACACTGTTCTCTGAAAGATACTGTTAAGATAATACAAAGACAAGCCACAGACTGGGATTTGCAAGTCACATGTCCAATAAAGGACTTGTTTCTAGAATATATAAAACTCTCAAAATTTATTTAAAAAAAAAAACCCCAATTTTTAAAAAATGGGCATAAAATTTGAATAGGGATTTCACCAAAGATGTATTATGGCAAAGAAGCACCTGAGAAAGATGCTTAATACCATCAGTCATTAGAGAAATGCAAATTAAAACCACAGGGAGATACCTACTAGAATGGCTAAAATCAGAAACACTGAGCATTCCAAGTGTTAGTGAGGACACAAGGAACTGGCATTCTCATACACTGCTAGTGGAAATGCAAAATGATACAACTGTTTTGGCATTTTCTTAAAAGTTAAACATACACTTGCCATTATGATCAAGCCATTCCACTCCTAGGTATTTATCCAAGAAAATTAAAGCATTAGTCCTCACAACAACTTGTTTATGAATGTTCACAGCAGCTCCAC